CATTATACATATGTGTAAATTCTTTGGGATATATAAAAATAAACACAGATACACATGTGTAAATTTGTCTCATAAGCATTGCTTATGAGAAGAAATATTATCACATTATATATTGTATTATATTATAAAATATAATATATATTGTATAATATATTGTATTATAAAAATACAATATTAATGTGTAGCAATTCAAAAATATTATTTTAACAAAAATGATCTCTTTATTTTACATACCTGATAAGATAATTTTATCTGATAAGATAACTTTATTTGATAAAGTACATTTGATATCATTTGTATTTGCTATACTTAAGCAAAAAAATAGTATGACATATGAGAAGAATTTCGGTCGATTTTCGGTTTGCTGATATGCCTATACTATATATAATATATCCACTGATTCTATATACATTATACATACACATATACATATACATATGTACATATAAAATGTGTGTGTGTGTGTGTCTATTATAATTTTTTTAATGCTATGGATTATGGCTAAAATAATTTTTCTTTAACGATGCTAGATGTTTTTATAACTTTATAATTCATACATGTAAAATTGAAATTGCACTTCTGTTGATTCTCCAAAATCTTATATTAATCGTTACTTTTATTTTCTTAATTTTGTACATTACATTTTATCGCCTATGTTAAATAAATTAATTTTTTGAAAGAAGGAAATGCAAATTTAAAGAATATTTTCTGGAAAAACGTAAATTATAATAAGAATATTACATATTCATTTCCATTCTGTTATCAAAGAAATATGTTACATTTTATATGTTATATTTTATCGCCTATTTTAAATAAATAAATTTTTCATAAATGGTGATCGCATAATATTATTTGTAAATACAGAGTGTTCGATAATTGTTTTGGCAGAGTTTGTGGGCATATAGAGTGAAACTAAACTGAGACAGAAAGTCCTGTACTATTTTGCAATTTTTGCAATAGTTAACAAGATATTAATTGCTAAAAATTGTCGAAAATTGGTATTCAATAATTTTTTATTCAAATACTAACTTTACAGAAAAACTGCAAGAGATGAAAATTGTTTATTTTTTTCTCTTTCTTTAGACCCCTCAAATTTTTTCAGAGTTTTTCATCAACTTTTTTCATTAATTGTATTTTCTCATTTTTATCAACATGAGAAAATACGATATTAAACAAATCTGAAAAAATTCTAAAAAAATTTGTAGAGCTCTATGAGAATAAAATAAACAATTTTTGTCTCTTATAGTTTTTCTGTAAAGTTGATAGTATTTGAGTAAAAAATTATTGAAGATTTTCGGCAATTTTTAGAAATTAATATCTTGTTAATTATTACGAAAATTGCAAAATGGTAAAGGACTTTCCATCTCAGTTTAGTCTAGTTCCGCTCTACATGTCCACGAACTCCGTCAGAATAATTATCGGACACCCTGTGATATGATTTATAATAAGAATGTTATACAAGTCCATTTCCATTTTGTTAGTGCCCATTTGCAATTTGCAATAAAATTATATTCGAACAAAATGCAAAATTTAGTTTAATTATAATAAGTCGTGACTTTGCGACATGGCTAGATTTTCAGAATTCGATAAATTAATTTTTCTTTCTTTATTAAATTAAAGTTGAAGTTAATAATTATAAAATTAACTTACGTTACATTAAAAGTTGCAAAAATTATCTTCAATTTAAAATTAATTTTTAATTAACTATAAATTGATAATTTTTGATAACTTTTAACATAACATAATGTAAGCTAATTTTATAGTCATAAATTTTTTTAAAATTAAAATAGTTTATAATTATTTGAATTTTTATAATTAGCTTTTCTTTTCTAACTCTTCTCTTTATAACGGTTAAAATGAAAATATAAATAATTGCAATATGAAACATATTATAAATTTAATATTTTATTTATACATAAAATTTGTATGAGATAATGAAATAATGAAAAAGTATAGTTTTCAATATGGAAATCTATATTTTTTAAAAAATTATTTATAATAATAATATAAAAATACAATAATTAGTATGTATAATATGGAATACATGTTACAAATAATTATTGAATTTTAATAAAAATAGCGTTTCAAAATTTGTGCCGCTTAATTTCTTTTTTAAATTAACACATTCGTTAGTAAAATCTTTGTTTTTTTTTTCTATTCAAAGACACTAAGTTACTAGTCACGCCAGACATAAAAAAACTGATTGTTAATTTAACTTATCATATCTTATCTTAAGTTCATTGTCTAATGTTCATGTTTATTTTCTATCCATTTATATTTGTCTAATGGTATTTATTTTCTAATGTTTATTCATTGTTTAATGCTCAAATTTTATAGAAATAGAGAATATTAACACTTTTAAAGAGAGATAAAAAATTTTTTTAACTTATTAGAAAGTTTAACTTAGAAAGTTAAGTTACAAATTTAATATGTTTACAATTACATGTTAAAAATAACTAAGAAAAATTGAAAGTTAATTCATATGGAAATAATTAAGTTACAAATTATTAATTTTTTAACCTTAATATCTAACTTTTAAAAATTTTTTTACTAGTTATTATCCAATCTTGATAGTTTTATATATAATACGCAGTATTTTGCAAAAGATAAACGCTGGATTTTTGATAAAAGATAAAAATTAAATGTTCTCAAACGAATTTCAAATGAATGGCAAGATATAACACATAAAGGATATAAATTCTGATTAAAATAAGTTAATATAACATCATATATCAGCATATATATAAATATTCATAAGTCGTTCGTGAGATAGCGTTTATTAATTATGTAAGCTCATTTTCAGTTTCAAAATATTAAATTCTAAAGAGACAAGGTATACATAAATGCTATTGTTAATGCTATTGTTAAGATAGTTCACGATTCATTTTAAAGAACTCCGCACTAAATGTATGATAAATTGTAGGGTATCAGTAAATTAAGTTAGTTTTCACATATAATGATGCTTAATTTAACACAACTTAATTTAAGACACTATTCAAAATCACTTATACTAAGTTTTTAAATATTTTTTTAATACATTTAGTTTTATATGATGCATGAAAATAACATTGTGTTACATATCTTTTACATATGCTATGTAAAAGATATAAAATAATGTCAGTTGGACGACACTGTACATCACAGCGACTGAGTTCTTTGATAAATTATAGCTCAAAAACTGTTTATTATTGCACCTGACATTATTAATCAACAAGGCTGCGTTAACAAAATTTGCGCTCAAGAGCTTGTGATCTCTAAGCGCTCCTCTCAGAAACGCCTACTTCCATGATTTTTTGATGACCGTTTTTTAGGATGATAACATCACAATTTTCTATGACAGAATCAGTGGTGTCAATGTTGCAAAGACCACTTTTCAAAAGTAACGTGTAATAGTACCGACTTCTTTTTTAAAACGATTATCCAAACTCTTCATTATTGCACCGTCATGAACTATATATAATATTATCATTACGTCATTACCACATTCCCAATGAGAAATGATAATGGAATCGATGTCGATTCGACATTGATTTCATTTGTTCTGCACAAAAGTGCTGCAGGATTATTTTATTCTTAACGTAAATTTCATTATCATAACGTTGCGTTGCTTTTTCACCATGATAAAAAAACTGCGTTACAATATTATAACGATAACGAAATTTTCGTCAAGAATAGATCTGCTAGTAAAAAACCTGAAGCTCTGTCTTTTTATCCATTTAACTATGATACATTTAGGAACAGGGACAATCGTTATTATAAAACAGTGTCGCTTAATCTTGGATTTACATTTACTTTTTAAATTATAGCGCCCCTGACATTTCAGTGCCCTAGAGCCCAAATCCCATAGGTTAACGTGGTTATTGTTAATCGATATAGATTATGAATGCGTTCCATTTGGCGTTTCACAGCGCTTATGAGCATTTTGTCCTTGTTTAACATTTGATAAACAACAAGAATGAAATAATTCCTACAAATGAAACATATCCTACATTTCGTGTCCGAATTATTTCGCGCAAACTATAAAACATGTTCCAGGCAGCCAAGATCTTTCAAATGTAGTAACGCTTCAGCTAGTATTTTGGATATTTCGTCTCCGCCTATGTATTTCTGTTTTTTTGTACTTTCCAAAGGACCCAAATTTATTATCTCTTGTATCATTAATTCTGGATTGAGATGCCCTAGTAATATTGGTATAAAGATGCACATAAGAACAAAACCGAAGAGAGCACCTCTCTTAAAATCGTTCAACAAAGCGTCGTACGAGTATTTCTCAATGTCTTGAATATCAGCGTCCAATAGATAATCCTTCAGTGCGTCGTGATAGGCTCGCATAATCTCGGAAAAGTTGTTTTTCCTTATTTCATTTGTACAACATACATAAAGATACGTAGAAAGATCGACGACGGGCATCGAGTATCTAATAAGCGCGAAATCAATTAACATTGGGTGAAGTTGTCCATTGTCTTCTGTCTTGAAAAGCATATTGCTTAACGTAAAATCACCATGACACAATGTGGCCAAAGGTTCAAGCGGTTGCACCGTCTTTATCATCACTTTATCAAAAGCATTCGACAAACAGGCTTCCATCTTATCACAGAAAATTGCATCATGGTTTTGACTGCGAAGATATTCGACCACTCGTAATGTCTTAATGTTGGAACAAAATTTGAAAATATTATCCATAAATTTATTTGTGTATCTAACTTCTTGAATTTGTTCCACGATGTCGAAGAACTTTTTCGGCTGCATTTGCTTCATAACATATCCTTTGCCATGAAATCGTCCTAACTCGCGCATTGCTGCTAATGTGTATTCCACTGGAGGATTGTATACACATGAACAAGCGTAATATCCTCGTGTGTTAACATTTTCTAAAGCAATTACATAATCGAATGGCCGTTCTTTGACATAAAGGCATTTCGCATAGATTTCATCCGGTCGAGTATACTTTTGATAAAACAAGATCTCATTTTGAAATTGAAGGTCAATATGATTTATCTCGTAAAGGTTCGGCATGGGTCTTTTTAGTATTATAAATAATTCCTCGTTCTGTCTATTTGTTTTATTTTCAAACTGCAAATGTATACGATACACGATGGATGAAATAAAAATGCCGGTAGATTCTAATAACTTGTATCGAACACTGTCAATGTCCAATCCAAAATTCTTGATGATCTTTGACATCACTTCGTCGAGCCATTTTTGGAAATTTTCGTGGGACATTTTATTCGATTATGTAATTCGATTATGTAATTTGTGTGTCCCAATAAAAATAATAAAATATACAAAATAATATAATATATTATGCCAACATTAATTGAAGATGTCTTTTAGTTCCACAATGACTTCTAGGAACAAACTGATTCTTTTTATTAATTATTATTAATAAAATTTTATTTTGTATACTTTTTTATGTATATTAATAAATCAATAAACATTTATGTAATAAACGCGTTATCCGACTGATCCACTGAACGATTGAGCGATTCACTGAACTCTCCTTCCTTTCAGTTTTTGTAATCGCTGGTTGCTAGCGAATGTACTGTGTGATAGAGTCATTTCGTAAGCATTCTTTATTGCAGATATAAAAGACTTTTTATACAACGATTAGAATTTTCGGCGAAAATGTCAACTGAGTCACTTTAAAGATTATGATTGTTTTATGATACTAATTTTATCATTATATTTCTTATTTCGCTCTTTCGAATTATCATCTTTCTGCGGACGTACGGAGAAACATGATTTTGTTAAGAAAGCAAAAAATTATACAATAATTACAATTATGCAATAAAATTTAATTGTCAAATTTGTTAACTGTTTAATAAATTCGCATATTTGACAAATAAATAAAATTTAAACAAAGTTATTAGAGGCTCCATAACACAAAACAAAAATAAGAAAGAGCATACAGCCACATACGCAAATTGTTATTTGCATAACAGTCTTACTATCGTATATAATATTTTTTCATTTATGTTAATATTTTTATAACAAAATAGCATCGTATTATTGTATTATATTGATAATTGTGAAAACACGGGTAAGTTTTTATAATTAAATACACTTAACTTTTTAATTGAATGATATTAACTTATTAATATTTGTTTTATTAGAATCTGGTAATCCCGTATTTTAACAAGTTATCAAGAATAAATTCTTAATTTCTCTGTAAAAGAGATTATGAAGACAAGATTGGAATTTTGTACTGCGATATCCTAATGTGTTAATTTATTATTTTTTAACATTTGCATTTTCTTGATTGTACTAATGATAGTCACGACTTGACTGAAACATTTACATGTAATTTATTTTAAATACATGAATTGTGCAAATAACAACTTGCATATGTGGCTGCATGCTCTTTCTTATTTTTGTTTTATTTGATAAATATTTTACATTTGTTGGAAATAATTTTTGTAGCGAGTACAAAAGAGAATAAATATTCGTTACATCTGCAAATAATTTGCGATCCCTATATTTGCAAATTAAATTTGCTGTTATGTCATAGAATAAGCGTTCATAGCAAATTTTTTCTCTCTGTGCGCTATAATTTTATTGGTTTGTAACTTTACTTGTTGTTTGTGGTATTATATATTCAATATTCATAAAATGTATAATATTAATTAAGGTAAGTTATTAGAGAACCAAGCACTCTTAATTTAAAAAACAATATCGAGAGTGTACAGAGCACTTAAGAGTCAAATATAAGGAAAAATTTTAAACATGAAAATTCAAACGAGATGTACATAATATTGTGTAATTAATTAAAAGCCATTATATATTATTCTTAAGACTTCCACAGATGCTTTCTATAAAGATTATGTGTTTTGCGGATTTCCTCCATGTCCAAATCCATTCTTGGAATATTCATTTTAATTACTGTCACGACAAACACTGAAATTTATCTCTTCGATGTTTTCGAATTCATGTAACATCAATCATCTGTTCAAATATAACTTTCATTTCTGAAAAAGACTCAATTGTGAGATCGAAATATCTAATATATATAATGACTATGTAAAAATTATGTATTTCGCGGGTTTCCTCTGTTCCAGATACATTCTTGGAATTCAAGATTTTGTGAGCCTTGCAGTCCATTTTATTAGAGGAGCAACAAACTGCTATCAGGCTGTTCTTTGTCCTTCCGCTTTTCCGCGGCTAAAACAGTGCCATCAACACAAAAATATCATTTTATTCCGCTTTCTGGAGAAAAGAAACTATCGATTAAGAAATATTCTAATACCATTATTCAAATTACTTTCCTCCAAAAATAAATGATAAAATATGAAAATATTCCAGAAAATAGAAATAAAAAATAAAAAATAAAAATAAAAACAATAATAAACAAAAAATAACAAAAATAATAAAAATTAAAAAATAAAAAAAACCAATTGTAATGCGGGCATTAAGATATTTTCTAAAGACTGTCTTAACCCTTAAACGCAGGGAGTAATTGTTTTTAAACTCATGCACGTACAGAAATATCTAATAGCGACCTGTGCCGGGTGATTGCGTGATGGCGCGTTGGCGATGGAGCGACGGATTGCCTCACTTTTCGAGCTCTTACTCTCAAACAAATGCGTGTTCCATTATGTCCTTTTAGAGTAACAAAGTAGATTTGGGGCTACATTTTGAGCTATATTAATAGAAAATCGAGACTGGCCTTTTAGTCGCGCCGCCATTTTGAAAATTTAAAAACCCATTAATGACAAGCGAAAAGAATGCTGCGACGAGAAAATCCAAAAATTGACGGTCCTACAGTTCGGTAATCGGCAGTTAGCCTACGGATCTATTATTCGGCACAAAGTCTTTATTCATCAAACTGTTCAAGCACAAGCAATATGAACAAAATCCATGAAACTTCGCAAAATGGATGGCTTGGCATGGAATGTCTCATACATATATATATA